ATTCATCCCGAGGACTCAAACTGTAAAACAACCTGGGAACATCAGTGTTGAACCCGAGCATTAACCAAGTTACTTCGAGGACTAAATAATAAAATTATCTTGGAACATCCAAGTGTGAACCCCGAGCACGTGGACAAGTAACCTCGACGACTAGAGAAGATTAATTACTTTCGACGACTTAATCATCTCAACGATTGAGAATAACTCAATTTTTTAAACAAGTGATAATGCCGAGGACAGTTTAGTTTTCTACACACTTAACACTCGAGGATTAATGTTCAAGGAATGGTAGTCCCCGAATAATTGTGACCGACCTCTATACATGAGTCTTCCCGAGCTCTCATTTTTCAGCTTTTGATAAAAATACAAGGATATATGGTCGGGATGTATGTCCTCGGGATTTGTACTTGTGCTACACTATTGTGCTGATTATGAGCTCCAGGATTTTGGTGCTTGTGAGAGGCTTACATGCTTGCTCGAGGACAAGGCTTAGAGGGACTTGCTCGAGGGCAAGGCTTAAATTGGCTTGTCAAAGACAAGGCTTAAATTGGCTTGCTCGAGGGTAAGGCTTAAATTGGCTCGTCAAAGACAAGGCTTAAAGGGGCTTGCTCGAGGGCAATGCTTAAATTGGCTTGCCGGCTTGCTCGAGGGCAAGGCTTAAAGGGGCTTGCTCGAGGGCAAGGCTTAAATTGGCTTGCTCGAGGGCAAGGCTTAAATTGGCTCGTCAAAGACAAGGCTTAAAGGGGCTTGCTCGAGGGCGAGGCTTGAAGGGGCTTGTCAAGGACAAGGCTTGAAGGGGCTTGCTCGGGGGCAAGGCTTAAATTGGTTTGCTCGGGGGCAAGGCTTAAATTGGCTTATCAAGGACAAGGCTTGGAGGGGCTGTTATACCCGATGTTTGGATTTATTAATTGTTTGGACTGGACTTGGATTTATATTGCATCCAAGCTGCCTACGTACCCAAATGGGATCAAGTCGAACGTAGTTCATTACAAAGGAGAACGGAAAACATACATGGGCACGCAGGCCCGCTAAACTGGAAATAAAATGTAGAAAAAGAAAATCTCCTCAAAGGCGTCGGGAATTTTACTTGTAATATATTTTCAGATTGTCGGCATTCCAGGGCCTCGGAAGAGGTCTACCCGAAGTGTCTCTTAGGCTGTATGCTCCTTTGCGACCCTGCCGTATGACTTCAAAGGGTCCTTCCCAGACGGGCCCGAGCTTCCCTGGGGGGTGGCCTGCTGCTTCGGCCCTCCTCAAGACCAAATCGCCAGCTCTGAACCTCCGAGCCTTGACTTTGCGATTAAAATGTTTTGCTGTCTTTGCTTAGTAAGAGGCCACTTTTATAGCGGCTTGCTCCCGTACTTCTTCCAAGAGATCAAGATGTTCAGTTGTATGCTCCGAGGTTTCTGGCACGAGCCTCCTATGGCTTGGCAGTCTAATTTCCACTGGGACCATTGCTTCAATGCCATAAGCTAACATAAAAGGGGTTTCTCCTGTGGTTGTTCTATGAGTTGTTCTATACGTCCAAAGTATAGAAGGCAGCTCGTCGGACCAAGAACCTCTAGCATCGCTTATTCTTGTTCGGAGGTCTTGTAATATGATTCGATTTGTTACCTCGGCCAGACCGTTGCTCTGAGGATGCGAAACTGATGTCAGACGGTGATCAATTCCAAGGTTTGAGCAAAAGTTTCTAAACTGTTGGTTGTCAAATTGCCTGCCATTGTCGGTGATGAGGACCTTTGGTATCCCGAACCTGCAAATGATAGATTTCCAAGTGAAGGCTCTTAGCTTGGGCTCCGATATTGTGGCGAGAG